TAAATCTTTGGGAAAAAAGTGGACGGAGGCTCCAGGAGGACACCGGGCACAGACTGACAGAGGCCGCCGGCACGTGGGCAGTCTCCTCACACCCGTGGGGGAGGCTCGTACCGGAAAGACAAGGAGCAAGCGCCGCGGAGAAGGGGCCCTCGTCCCTTGGCGGGTAGAGGCGGGAGAGTCAGACCCAGAGACCCAGTAGGGTCCAGCCAGCCGCCCCGGATTTACCTGAAAGATACACAGTGCGAAGAACAGGACACAGCCCAGCGGCCACGGACGGGCGAGCTGGCCAGGAAGAGGGTCTCGATACACAGTACTGTCCAGGTGCACGAAACAGGCGCATCTGCCTTGCGCCTCGGCGGGGGTGCTGGTTGGGGGAGCCGGGCCTGGGGGCGCGTAGGGCCCAGCTGCCTCGTCCAGCGGGCGAGGGCTCCTCCCGCTTCCGCACCCCGCGGGTGGGGCACCGCGCTCCCACGGGCCCCCAGGAGGCCGGAGAGTCAGCACACAGCCCCGGGGCGCCGCGGGACGCTGGGGCGGCACTACGCGGCGGCGTCGGAGCTCGCGCCTGGACGTTCGCCTTGATAAACGGCGGACTTGGCCGAGAGCAGCCCCGGAGGGAGCGAGGGGGCAGGCGTCCGCCAAGGCCGGATTCTTCAGGGGGGCTGGGGGTGAGCGGGGGGGTCTGAGTAGAGGGGCTGAGGTAGCTTGGAGCCACGGGGAGGGGGTCCGAGCGCCCAACATTGAGGTGGCTGTAGACGCGGGCAGAGTGTTTCTGCATGGAGGTGACGTCCACATGGCAAAATCGAACTTCTAAAAACTGAAGTGACCTTGAATTACTAGTGTTACCCGCGTCTGCCACAGTAAGGTGGCCGTGAGGGTGCACCCCTGTCCTTCACCTTGCCCCTTCCTGGTGAAACTACCGGCCTTTCCTCTGGCCTCTGGTCTCACAGTGCAAATTTATTTTTGTTTTATGTGGTTCCGTTTGCTTGGTTTCTCTATAGGACACGTATGCGTAAAATCATACCATGCCCATCTCTTTCTGCTCAACTCATTTCACTCAACACAATGTCCTCAACACCCATTCATGTCACGGATGTTCTTTTTTGGTTTAAAAAAATATTTATTTATTCATACAAAACTGGGGTACAGGCCAGAAGTACAGGGGAGAGGATTCACCAGTGACAGCGGGGAGCAGAACAGGCAGATGGACGAAGTACAGTGCTGAGGGGAGCAGCGGGGAGACAGGAGGGGCCTGCCGCACCCTGGGGGTCCCTCCCTGGCTGGGGGTTGAACGCGCACTGAAGCAGCTGCAGTCAGCTTCGCAAGGCTGTGCCTGAACCATTGCGCCACAAGGGAGGGCCCTGATGGTCTCTTTTTAATGGCTATGTAATATTCCCTCGCATGGACATATAGTCCATGAATATACTATAAAGGAAATGTCCTCTGTGCGTACAAACATATCATTCACCTGCCCATGGACGTGACGTGAACTGGCCGGGCCATATGTTAGTTCAACTTTTAATCTTTTAGGAACTGCCATGAAGTTTTCCATAGTGGCTGCATTGACTTCCCACGACCTGGGCACCAACCCCCTGCCCTCCCCAGCCTTACCCATGCTTGTCTCTCGCCCTTTGGATCATTAACTCTGTGTATTTTAAATCAGACACAGTTTCTAGAAGTCATTGCTTGCTCACCCTTCCTCTTACTTACCTGTCATCTCCAGTGGGGTGAACCTCCTGGTTCACGAGGATTCAAGGAGGCGAAAAGTAGCAGACAGACTGAGACGTTCCCTTACCAGTTCTAGATTTCACGCCACACAGCCACCGGTATCTGGAACAGCAGCCAGAGTGGCCGGTGGGCACCTTGTTAGTAGCTGGGAACCCCTTTCTTGGTGACCGACTGTCCTGTAACAGCTGATCCTGTCCGTGTTTAGAGCGGACCGGACCGCTGTGGGTGGGATTTGTGTGTCTACTTTCCCTACACACCGGTGGTTCTCGGATCTGTCCTGTTGACACGTCTGGAGCACAACAAGGACGCCTACCTCGATGCCAAGCTGCTTTCCCAGGATGTTTACTGATTTAATTCTCACCGAGATGGTGGCAGTGCGGATACAGCAAAGGTTTTGCTTTTCTATTTCCAAGCCAGTGGTGGCAGCGTGAGAGGGCAGGAGGACTCGGATTTGCCCCCCTCGTGAATCACCTCGCTGGGGCGTGCTCCGGTTCTCCCGTGACCCTCGGCTAACAGTATTTCCATTACCTCTTATCAGATCTTGTTTTATTTTGTCTACAGCCCTCGCTGCTATCTTCAATTGTTTTTATTATTGCTTCCTCTCACCGTGTCTTTACGACTTGTTTTCAGTTTTACCAACAAGGGCAGAGATCTTGCTTGATTTACTTGAGGTCACACAGAATAGCGGCTCCTCTGTGTCCTGATGCCCGAACCCAGGAGTGTCGTAGGCTGCGTGCGAGAATTGACTCTGCTAGTCAGCTGGCCGTGAGGCGAGATGACCGTGGATGGCCTGGCTGAGCCCAGGGGCATCACAGGGTCCCGCCACGTGGAAGAGGGAGGCGAGAGAGGGAAATTGATGTCAGCCTCCGAAAGCCTTGGTCTGGTCCTGGTGGCTTTGAAATTGGGGAGACAGCTGGCCGCCCCGGTCTCTGAGAGACAAAGGAGGAACTTTCTCCCAGAACCTCCAGACGGAACGCTGCCCGAATGATATCCCCAGGACCCCCTGACTCCCAGAACTGTAAGACAATAAATGTGTTGTGAGCTCCCGGGCCTGTGGTCGTCTGAGACAGCAGCGACCGGAAACACCTACACGCAACCTGGTGTCCTGTAAGTGCCCAGTAAACATCTGTGAAGCGAGACAGCAGCGGCAACCTCGGGGCTCAGGACGGGAGGCCGGGGCGCAGCGCCTCAGTGCAGGTGCTGAAAGGCAGCCAGGCGCCGGGAGGGTCCTGGGGCCAGCGGTGCTGTCGGGGTCAGGACGCCCTTGGCACTGGACGTGGAATTCAGAATCGGGAAACCCAGAGCCAGTGGAAGCGGCGGGGGGCCCCTGCCCGGTGCCGTTTCTCTGCAGTGCCCACCGGCCCTCGTTTCCGCCCGCCCCCGGCCCCGGTGTCGCCGCCGGTGTTTTACTGCCTGTAGCTTTTGCAGAGTGTCACGCGGTGGAAGCCATGTGGCCTTTTAGCGCCGGATGCTGTGACTTAGGAGTGACGTTTTGGTCCTTTTTAAACACCGCGATAAAGACCTACCACTCAGCCTCACAGCTGAACACATTCGGGACATCGTCGCCCGTCCCAGGACGCTCTGTCCAGCTTCCGTGAAGGGTGTGGACACGAGGGGCGTGGACTTGCGGTGTGTAACACGGCGGTTGGACCCATGGGTGCTCTGTGAAGTGACAGCCACAACCCAGGTAACGAACACACCCATCACCCCCCATCTGGGGGGCTCGTATTCTCCTCTCAGCGAAGTCCCAGACCTTCACCTCCCCCCGCCCGGTCATTTTAAGTGAAAAGTCCATGCGTGGGAACAGCAGCTTCTCGCGCCTGCTCCCTTTGGCCTCGGGACCTCTCCTGTGTGTTCTCTATAGAGCTGTGGCGGCCTGGCGCCCTCACAGCGGGCGCCATGGGCACTGCCCTCGTGTCTGGCGTGGCATAGACATGGCCCCCATGCCCGGCATGGGGCACACGTGGCCCTGTGTCTGGCGTGGCATAGACGCTGCCCTCGTGTCTGGCGTGGTATAGACGTGGGTCCCCGTGCCCAGCGTGGGACAGACGCGGCCCTGTGTCTGGCGTGGCATAGACGCGGCCCATGTCTGGCGTGGCATAGACGCGGCCCTCATCCAGGTGGCGGGCTCGCCCTGCTGGGTGCGCGTGTTACGGGGGCCAGAATTCTGTTGCCTGTAAGGCCGAATCACATTCCTTCGCATGGATGGGCCCGCGTGTCTGTCCACCCACCTGTTGGTGGCCAGCGAGGGTCCCCACGATAAACGTCGTGTTACTGCCAGCTGGTCCCTCCTTCACTCCGCCTTGGCTATAGCCGGCCAGTGGAACCGCTGGGTCCTGGTCCACCTCAGTCTGCCCTGCGCCTGCTTCTGCAGCACAAGCTGCCGCCTGGGGCTGCGGTGGCCTGCGGAGCACCGGCCAGTGAGAAGGAAGTCCACCACCGTGGGCAGGTTCGCACAAGAAGACGGGGCTCCCCGTGTTCTTGATCCGCTGGGCCTGAAGCTGCCTCCTCCGTGTTCTGCAGACAGTGAGAGGTTATTGGAGGAAACCTGGTTGTGTTACGCTGCCGCGTAAGCCCTCGCAGGGTTTTCAGGAGACAGGCTGGGGTGCGTGGTGTGTCCGACGCTCTCCCCCTTCTGCTTGCCCCCGAGACCGCAGCTTCTCTTTCTGTGTGTCAGCTGGTGAGTGCCGGGTCCTGCGTTAAGAACACCTGCCTGTCCTCTGGGACTCCGCACATGCTGTTCCCTCCACCTGGCTCACTCACCTGCTGCTTCCTCAGGCCGACATCCTCGCCAGCAGGTTTCAGCTCCAGGTAACTTTAAAAAAAAACGATGCAACAGTTTATTTTCACATCATTTTGTGCCCTTTTCCCTCTCAGTTGTATCTCCATGGGCTTCCCATTCACAAATCCCTGAGCACCACCACCGCAGTCCCACAGTCCCGTGCAATCCCCCCTCCCGCCCTCAGGGCTCCCTGCCTGCCGCTCACCCTCCCTCCAGCACATGGGGCTGTTTAATTAATGGCCCTCTCCTGGACTCCATGGGGAGGTTTCACACGGACTCGGGCTAGGTTTGTTTGGTTCACGACATTGCCAATCCTCTCTGCATGTTGATTCTTTCATTCAACAAATATTTACAAGCAACAGACACGGCCGGTACTGGGTGTCAAATACTGAACAAGATTGACGTGGGTCCCCTTTGGGGGTAGAGGATACCAGAAAGACCTACGCACTCCAGGTAGGGCCGGTGGAAAAATAACAGGGAAGGGAACAAAGAGCCAGGGGAGGGGGCGAGCGAGGGCCGTGGCTGGAGCCGAGAGGTGGGGCGCTGCAGCCTACCGGAAGCTCCCGGGCTGGGGGAGCCTGGACCGGGTTTAGCCCAGCTCCTGGCTGGTGACACTCCCGCAGGGCCTGTGCAGCCCGCGTCGCCCAAGCAGACCCGCCCCGGCCTAGGTCCCCCAGACCCAGAGAGGGTGAGTCGCTGGCCCCAGGTCATGCCCGGGCCAGCGGTGGGAGCCCAAGCCGTGGCTCCGCCTGTGGGCAGAGGTGGCCTTTGCCACGCTCCATTCGCCAGACCTCGGATCCCTGGGGACTTGGGGTCTGCGTACAGGGCATGGGGGCGGGGTTCCCGTGTCCAGGGTCTCCAGCGGCGGGACTGCACTTTGGCTCGGGCTAGCCCCCCTGGGGAGTCCGAGGCCCCAAGGCCGGAGCAGGGCGAGCGCAGGCCACTGCAGGGGCCTGGCCGGCCCAGGTGGCAGCGGGCTGGGAGCGCGGGGCAGGGCAGGGTGGGC